CACCCAAAATCCATAGTTTGCTTTAGGTTGCACTCTTGGTGTTGTAAATTGTATGGATTTGGACAAACATATAATAATGCATCTATCATTATAATATCATACAAGGTATTTTCACTGCCCTAAAAATCCTCTGTGCTCTGCCTATTCGTCTTTTTATTGTCTTCATCATTGTGCCTTTTCCACAATTTCAAATAGCTGAAATTATACAGGATGTAGCCTTTTCAGATTGTCTTTTTTCACTTAGTAATATGCATTTAAGTTTCCTCCTTTTCTTTTAATGACATTTTACCTTTAAGTCTGTGATCCATTTTGAGTTAAATTTTGTAAAGGGTTTAAGATCTGTGTCTAGACTCCTCTTTGTTGTATGTGGATGTCCAGTTATTCCACTACCATTTGTTGAAGAGACTATCTTTGCTCCATTTTATGGCCTTTGCTGCTTCGTTAAAGATGAGCTGACTGTATTTAGGGCGGTCTACTCTTGGTCTTTCTGTTCTCCTCCACTGATCTATTTGTCTATTCCCCCCCCCCCCCAATACAACACTCTCTTTATTACTGTAGCTCTATAGTTAGTCTTTATATCAAATAGTGTCATTCTTCCAAATTTGTTTTTTCCTCCGCTATTGAGTTAGCTATGCTGGGTCTTTTTCTCTCCATAGAAACTTCAGAATAGTTTGTCAATGTCCATAAATTAACTCGTTAGGATTTTGATTGTGATTGTATTGAATGTAGAGATAAACTTGGGAAGAACTGACAACTTGACAATATTGAATTTTTCTATCAGTGAAACTGGAATATATCTTCATTTATTTAGTTCCTTTACGATTTTGTTTATCAGAATTTTGTAGTAGTCCTTATATAGATCTCATACATATTTTGTTAGATTTATACCTATTTCATTTTTTTGTTTCTATTTTTAAAAAAGATTTTATTTATTTGTTTTTAGACAGAGGGGAAGGGAGGGAGCGAGAGGAGAGAAACATCGATGTGTGGTTGCCTTCCACACGCCCCCCACTGGGGACCTGGCCTGCAACCCAGGCATGTGCCCTGACTGGGAGTCAAACTGGCGACCCTTTGGCTTTGCAAGCTGATGCTCAATCCACTGAGCCACACCAGCCAGGACAATTTTTTTTTTTTTTAAATTTCAAGTTCCACTTGTTCACCGTTGGTCTATAGTGACCATACTATTTTTAATTCAGAAAACACTCTCTCCACATACTTTGTGGTACCTGGTAAGATCAGGAAATTCTGCTCTATGGCAGATATTCTCAAATTATTTCCATACTGAAATGTTTAAGTGTTTCAGCCCAAATATTCCACATATTCTATCTCTTTGCCTGCAGAGTACCATGTCTCTTTTTGATAAATATTTTTATAAGACAGAACTTGTCAAGGAAATTGTCTATTTGTGGTTCTTTTGAATGTTTCACCACGTTCAGTTGCTGAGGTCATAGGGCTTTTCAATTTTACTTCAGTTCAGTATAGAATGTTGCTATTGGACTGGCCAACAAGTTCATTTGTTTTTTTTCCTTAAGATGGCTCTAGTAGCACTTAATTTTCTTTAACTTCATTCAAAACAATTTTGTTAGATTGTATCGTGACAGCTGTTATATCACCTCGGATTGAATAAGCATCAAAGTGGTGAATTTTTGTGTAGCCATTTTAATAATGAAGATGGAAGAAAATATACAACATTTTCAGCATATTATTATTTCAAGAAAGGTAAAAATGCAACTAGAAAAAGATTTGTGTAGTGTATGGAGAGGGTGCTGTGAGCAATCAAACATGTCAAAAGTGCTTTGTGAAATTTTGTGCTGCAGATTTCTTGCTGGAGATGCTCCACGGTCGGGTAGACCAGCTGAAGTTGATGGTGATCAAATTGAGACATTAACTGAGAACAATTAATGTTATATCACGTGGGAGATAGCCAACATACTCAAAATATCCAAATCAATAAAGTTATTTGTGAAAGTGCAAAAATGTGTCTTTTATTTTGCAGAAAAAAACTACGTGGGCTTTTGGGCCAACCTAATATATCATTAAAAATAAGAACTAGGCTTCCGCTGTGGCTGCTCGAGCAGCATCTTGAACTGTCCTGAAGCTGTGCCTGAAATCCAGGTTGGAGCCGCGGATGATCTCCCAGAATCCGGATCGGTGGGGAATACCCTGGAGGCAGGGCAGTCAGAGGCTGGCGGAAGACTCCCTCCGCCAAACAGCTCAAGGAGGAGAGCAGAAGATGCCTGGGCCCCCGTGTTCCTCTGGTCCTTCATCCTCTGCGGGCCCTTTAGCCAGAGGGGCTGAAAAATGGGCGGTGGTTAGGGGTACAGGAAATTCAGGTTAAACAGGTTTCCTTGCCGATCCAGTGCCTGTAAACCCTGCGAGCCCACACTTTTTTAAAAATGAAGGAATTAAGGCGTAACAAACAGGAGAGTCCTGCAACAAGTGGATGGATTCAGAAAGCCCCAGCTACGTCTAGAACAGTATCCCACCAGGCATCATATCGCAGGTTGTGTGCTGGATTTGACATAGATGGAGATGCATTGGAAATGTTTAATAAGAATGTGGAAGAATTTGAGTTAACAAATGGTGAGAGTTCAATGTGTTGTGTGCTCGTTATCTAATAGAATGTCCAAGTCATTTTATACAGTAATTATTAATCCTCCCTTTGGGACCAAAAATAATAAAGGGTCAGATATGGCACTTCTGAAGACTGCTTTGGGAATGGCAAGAACAGCAGTATATTCTTTACACAAATCCTCAACTAGAGAACACAGTCAAAAGAAAGCTGCAGCATGGAAAATCAAGACTGGCATTATTGCAGAGCTGAGAGATACGACCTGCCAGCATCATACAAATTTCATAAAAAGAAGTCAGTGGACATTGAAGTGGACCTAATTCAGTTTTATTTTTAAAAGCCTCCAAAGACAGAAGCAGCTGAAAACCTAATGAAAATGAATACAAAATTTGTTTACTTAAAAAAAAAAAAATAGAACTAATGAGTAGAAGTTTCTTCCCTTAAGCTGACATATTTATAAAGCATGATTACAAAATTTCAAAGTTAAATCTTGTGCAAATTAAACCTATCTCATATAAATATTTTGCTAAAAAAAAAAAAGATGCAGCAAAAATGCTCAGTAAGGGTGTTAGGATACCAGTGTGGCCTGGACAATCCTAGAGAGGGCTACGCATGTATAAAAGGCCTCTCATGGTCTGCTCCTCGCCTCTGCTACCCTCTTCCTACCTATGATCTTGTCTCACCCAGATCTTCATTTTGGGAGACTCATGATGACTTCTACTCCTTTGCATTTCCTGCCACTCTTCCTGGAAACTCATCCTCTCCTTCCTCATCTGGCTAATTTCTCCTTATCCTTCAACCCAAGACTCCGGCATCATTTTCTCTAGGCACTTTCCTTTGATCTCCTTTGTGCTCCCTGCCCTACCTCAATTATAGCCCGTGTTTAATGTTCTTCCTTCACCTTTTCAAAGACATTTTTTTGTAGAATGACCTGTTGCTTGAGACTCCTTCTCTTTGCTTTCTATAGTGACAGTTATTGGATAAACTGATCTGTGCTAAGTGAGATAAATGATTGTGGTGAATTGGTTATCTGGTCCTGAAAACTTGCTTGTATTTCACTGAGGCCTCATGGGGCCGTGGTCTTCAGAGTGGGTGTGCGCACGTCTGGGAGTACCTAAGCCCATTTATAAGGATGCAGGTAGAACAGTTACTAACTTTTATTTCTATAATTCTACTGAGCAAAGCGAAGAAATTAAACCTTTTTAATATTTAAGATTTTGTTTGAGAAAGTGCATGTATATCTTTATAAAGCCAAGTTGACATTGGCACGTATACAATGCTAAATATTTTATTGATTGAATGCTCCATCACAAACATTTGAAGACCACTTGTATAGGGGCACACTAACGTTCCCAGTGCATAAGCTCTTCAAGCTTTTGGCGCTATAATGGCTTACATTTATCAAGCGTTTCCTGTGTGCCAGGCATTTTTCTATATACTTTACAGGTATCAGCATAGTTATTTCTTACAGCTGCCTTATGACATTGGTATGATTGTTAGCTTCTTCATTTTATGGATGAAAAAACTGACTCTGGATAATCAGAAAACTTGGTCAGGGAAGAGGGTAGTATGTACCTGATTCAGGATAAAACTGATGTGGTCTGATTCCAGGGCCACTTGCTTAACCCTTGCTCTGCACAGGGTGGTGTGCCGCCTGTCTGGTCCTGTGAGATAGACAGGTGGCCTCCAGGAGGAGAGGGACCATGTTGTCTTGTTCATTGTAGTACCCTTGATAAATACTTCTTAAATGAATGAAGGAACTGAGGGTCTGCCACCATCTCTGAATTCATGTCACTTAAATGGGAACTTTGGATAAGTACTCTTTTATTTTTAACATGAAACACTTTTTCCCTCGAAATAAATGGATCTGATGAGAAACTGGCATGAGTTGAATTACCAGGCTTATGTTTAGGAACTTTACATGAAAAAAAAGTCTGTATCCCTCTAACACTAATGAGTCAGTTATGAGTCCCAGCTCACCACTGACATGACTAATGCCTTCCTTTTCTTCCATTATCACGAGCGTATGAGAACATAAGTAATGAACCTAAGATAACTTCCATGCACTGTCTGAAGTGTTGCTCAAATGTGCATAATCTTAAAACAGCAACAAGAGTAGAGCAACCATGACAACAAAAATGATAATGGAAAAAGAGAAGTAGAGCTTAACTAATTTTGGGGGGTATTTATCCACTGATAGCTCTTTAAATATGGTTCAGTTTTCCTTAATTTTTTGGCATAAGAATATGTAATAGTGAAATAAAAATTTCAGGTGTTCTGAGCATTAATAAAATTGTTTTGGTTTGACCACATACGTTTACGATTCCATAAGTTTACAGTTCCCTCCATATTCAAGAGTCTTAGGGGAGTCCTGCTAGTATCATCAGATTCAAATTATGACTCTTTTTTCCCCTCATTTTCCTTTTAGGCTCTTTCAAGACACTTATTCTTCCATCAGTAAGTATCCATTAAACATTTTGGTTTTGGAAATATACATTGCATCAGTGAACTAAATACATTAATGTTTTATTGGTTTTATTATCAATTTAAATTTTTTGTGAGTTTGGCTCGAGTTTAGTTCCACCTTCAGACTATTTAAGAATAATATTCCTTCAAATTCATAGCAGAGATTTTCCCCTTATGAAAAATAGAGAACTGAACTGAGGGAAACTGGCCTACACTAATAGTGCGGGGACCTGGGCCGGATTGATCCTGCTTCGGTCTTAGTGAGCCCTACAGTCTTGGGTATGTAATTAACACCCCATCCTTTGCTGTGGATAATGCACACCATGTTTTTGGCCCAAACTTTCAGGAAAAAAAATCTGCTGTTTTAATTAATTAATTAATTAATATTTAGATATATATTTTTGTATTACAAAGGAATTTTAGCATTTATTTTTGAACATATCGTGGTACAAGAAATTTTATGTAACAAATAATTACAAAACACAAGAACAGATACGAGGTATTTCAGGCACTACCCATGTATAATGCACATTCTTATTTTTCCCTCAAAAATTTGGGGGAAAAAGTGCACATTGTGCACGACAAAATATGTTAGTTTTCTTGTCCTGCAAGAGGGCAGAGTCATGCTGAACCATATTGGAGCTTGAGACAAAAAGATACATCAATAATACTGATCCTGTCTTTGTTTAAAAGTTTAATTTTTTGTTCATGATTTAATTATTTGCATTATTTTTGACATTTTAAACTAAAAATAATGTTATTTAGTTTGTGAATTTTCTTGGCACTCCCTTAAATTTTGCCTTGGAGGCCGGCGCCTCACTCTCCTTGCCCTAGTCCCAGCCCTAGCAAAGGGGACGGGCCACTGGCTCCGTTCCATAACCGCTGCCCTGGGGGGAGCGTGGGATGTCCGAATGCTGTGAAATTTGATACAGAAGTGCAAAGAGGGGTTATTTTGTTGAGAGAGTACTAAATAATAGAACCTGATTATTAAGTGTTGCTTGTGAACTAATCCCACTTCCCATAGCTTTGATTTGGAAGTTTGTGCTTTTATTACTGTATTTCGCTTTAGAGCTTCTTAAGGTCCAATAGAGTAGTCCACAGCATGCAGCAAGAGGTGCAATTTTGTGCACTTTTCTAAGAGTGGATGACTCATGACTTTGACCCTGACACATCCCATACTTATGCAGGGCCAGCAACACTTGAGGAGCTGGGTTCCCTTGTTACCTATTGAAGATTACTTGTCAAGCACATTCAGAGGCCATGTTCATTTTCGGGGGTTCCTAGAGAACATAGTGCTCCCAAACAATACCTTATAAAAGTTACTTATATTCCATAGCTGTTATGTTTCTTAGTTACTATGGTTATGCTTTCCTTACTAAGAAATATTCTGCTTCTCTATTATTAAATAAAGTGGTGGTGGGGGTGTGGAGGAAGGGCATAGCAGGCAAAAGTGGGGGCGGGAACCTATCTTGGTGACAATAAAACGTTAGATTGCACTGATGTAACCTGTAACATTAGATGCTGGCCACCAGTGCCTATAGAACACTGGTGTATGAGACACTGTTGAAAGAGCATCCCAGGGAGAAGATTGAAATAAATTTTGTGTAATATAATTGTCCTGCAGCAGAAAGGGGTGGGATTCAAGTTCAGGAATTGGAGCTTAAAGCAAAATAACTATCTGGTTTTCCTCAAAGAAGTTGCAGTTGCACAGGCCGGAAGTGCAGAAGGCTGAAAAGAGAAGGCATATAGATGAAATAAGGGCACTTGGGCTTATTCCAATAATGCTAGAGTAAACTATCCGAACTATGATTAGCTGGAAATTTGGCTACTATTACTCTGTTGAGTCTTAACTATATGAAATACTAACTCCAACATCCTATATGTGTCTTTAATGTTATGCTATTTTTATCATTTGTAGCTATAGAAATTATTTACTAAAAGCTTTACTAGAGATTATATGTAGGACTTATCCCTTTTTAGTAAAACAGTTTTAAAGACTTAGTCATAAAGTGTGAAAAATCGATAACTCTGGCAAAAGTAGAAGGTTCTGCATTTTTTGTAAGTTTTCAGTTAAAATAGACCCAACTTTCAAAGCACACTTGCATTCTGATGCTTGTAAATGTAGTATTTTATTTTGTTTTTTAAAAGATTTTATTTATTTATTTTTAGAGAGAGGAGAAGGGAGGGAGAAAAGAGGGAGAGAAACATCGATCAGCTGCCTCTTGCAAGCCCCCAGCTGGGGACCCGGCCTGCAACCCAGGCGTGAGCCCTGACTGGGGATCCCAGCGGGTACCCTTTGGTTTGCAGGGCGGCACTGAATCCACCGAGCCCTACTGGCCAGGGCTAAATATAGTATTTTAAATTATTTTCTAAGGCCTTCATGAATTTTTTGCTGTAAAATATGAATATTTGAATTAATAAAAAATGTGTTTTAAACATCTGATTACTCATTGTTTCTACTTTTGATATACTACATGAACCTTAAATAAGGAGTAAATAAAAACATAATTGCTGCTTAATACAAAGATTTTTTTTTTTGTACAAATGTGCTAGAGAAAAATTTCTTTTATTTTCTTGGTAAATACATTTAACTTGAAATAAGGGAGCGATTTTTAAAATTAGAAATGTTTTTAATGTTTATGTTAAGTAATTTTACGTATTTTATTTTTATTTTAATATTTTTAATAGCAACTATCTTAACTTTCTCAATTTTATTTTGAAAATTATTTGAAATTTTCATTGCTTTTAGAAACTGCTGTTACTGATGTAGTAAAGTAGGAGAAATACTGTCATGTTTTCTTAGTTTCCATAAGACAACTGATCTTTGAGAGAGAAACATTGATTTGCCGTCCCTCTTATTTTTGCATTCATGGGTTGATTCTTGTGTACGGCCGGACCAGACTTCAAACCCTCCACCTTGGCGTGTCAGGATGATGCTCTACCAACTGGGCTGTCTGGCCAGGGCCCGTCTTATTTTTAAAATGCATTTCCAAGTAAATTACAGACATCAGTGCTTTTCTCCCTCAATATTTCCTGCTGACCATTTTATTGGTGGTTTGTTACATTTCCTTCTTATTCCTACCCATAATCCTACCTTTATGGTAGCTGCTCTTACTGGAAAATCTCCTCCGAGCTTTCTGTGGATAAAACTTATTTGCAAAAGGGGGTCAGAATGTAGTTTCAGAACCTCAGGTTTATTAATTTGCAAATGAACTACAAGTCAGGTGTGCTACTTATCTATTGCTGTGTAACTTAATATCCCAAAGCTTTGGGTTAATACAACAATAAACTTTTATTACTCACAGTTTCTGTGGGTCAGGAATTTGGGAACCACATTGTCGGGCAGTTCTGATTTGGGGTCTCATCAGGATGCAGTCTAGATGTCAACCAGAGCTGCAGTCGTCTGATGGCTTCACTAGGGCTGGATCTTCTCTCAGGTAGTTCACACACCTGGCAAGTTGGTGGTGGGTGTTGGTGGGAGGCTTCAGTCCCCCCCGCCCCCCCGACGTGGGCTTCTCTACAGTCTTGTTGAGTGTCCTCAGCATATGGTGTCTGACTTCTGCCAGAGCGACAAATCAAAGGGAAGGAGAACCAGGCGGAAACTGCCTTTTTGTGGTGCAGACTCATTTTATTCTAGAGAAGCAAGCCCCTACATCTAGGGAGTTAGGTTCTGTCTTTTCAATGGAGGAGGGTCAGAGAATTTCTGGACCTATTTTAAAACCACTGCACGAAGGATCTTAAGAGTAGCATAGCTCCTCTTGGGTGTGGATCTCAGCTGGTGACCTGGAACAACTTCCTTAACTCCTCCAAACCTCAGTTTCCTTGTTTGTGAAATTGTATCAGAAGGATTGTTGTGAAGTAAAATGACACAGCACATGCAAACTGCTGAGTATAGCTTATGGTCTTTTCATGTTGGTAGGTGGGATTTCTGTTAATAGAAATAGTAGAAGTGTCAGCCCACCCTCCTTACCAGGACTATGGCATGTACTGCACAAAGTACAGGAAGAGAATGCCTTGTAGAAGAGCTTGAGAGCATAGAGCAAAAACCAATCTTGTGCAAATGTGCTTTCACCAACTGACTGCCTTAGGGTGTGGCATGAAAAAGAACATTGAAGGATATTAGGTATTCTGACCCACAATGACTGTAAGTGAAGAAGACTTTGCACTTGGAATAGGAAATGACAAGGTGACTGCAGCTGAGAGCGGGCTGTGGGAGGTGTGTCTCACATTCCAGAAACCCTGTGATTTAGTTGGAGAGCAAACTACAAGATGTTAAAAAAAGGAGAGCAAATTGTTTAACTTCGGTGCCTAGGAGGGGCAAATTTTCAACATTGCAATTACTTTTAATTATGCTATGTATTTACATTTTCTATTCTCCTTATAATTAAAAACATTTTTGAAGTAAAATAATGAGACCTTGATATGTCTGATCTCTTTTTTTCCTAGTTACCTCTGAACAGTGCAAATGAGATTTATGAGCTACGTGTAACTGGACGTGCACAGGACGAAATTTTATTCTCTAATAGTACAACCTTATCATTTGAAACCAAGAGTCTAACTGTCTTCATTCAAACAGACAAACCCCTGTACAAGCCAAAGGAAGAAGTGAAGTTTCGTATCGTTACACTCTTCTCAGATTTTAAACCTTACAAAACCTCTTTAAACATTCTAATTAAGGTAAGTGCCAGAGAGATTTGAAGCAAAGAGTTTAAGCCATCTTACTGAAGCTCTCTTTTAAGTTTTGCGCATGTTATCTTGGAATTCATCATGGGCACCTTCCCTCCCAACATGAGATTCTCTCTAGGAAAGGAGCTGGGAGAACATCGAATGAAGAGTTCAGGCTCAAAACAAAAACAAAACAAAACAAAAAACCCCCAACAAAACAAAACCCAAAGTTCAGTCTCTAAAGTTGGCCTGCCTGCATTCCAGTCCTGACTTCTTCATTGATTTATTCATTTGTTAACCACTTACTGAACTTCTGTTTCAGGCACTGGGTTAGGGTAGTGAACACAGCAGATTAGGTCCCTGTTCACATTGAACTTATATTTCAGTGGGGAGACAGACAATAAACAAACACACACACACATATACATATAGATGGATAGATATGTTTATATTTGTGTGTGTATTTGTGTATGTGTGTGAGAGAGAGAGGTGGAGAAGAGAGATTGCCATTTCCTTTAGCGTTATTAGGGAAATCCTATTTGAGCAGAGACCTAAAGGAAATAATGAGCTCATATACGCGGAGGGAACAGCACATACAAAGGCACTGAATTGGGAGCTTGTTAGGTGCATTGGGACAACCACAAGCTGACAGTGTGCTGGAGCCCAGGGAGTGAGGGGACACATTTTAGGAGATAAAGGTAGGTGGGTTGGAGGAGGGGTCATACAGGGTCTTGCTGGCAATTATATGGACTTTGGATTTTATTCCAAGTGAAATGAGAATTCACTAGAGAATTCTGAGGAGACGCATGCTGCGATCTGATATAACATCTCAAAAGAATCACTGCGCTAAGAATAGATCTAGCTGTGTGACCTTGAAGAAATTAATTAACCTCTCTGAGCCTCAGTTTCCTTAACTGTAAAATGTGAGATAATATCTCAGAAACTTTTTGTGAGGACTCAAGTAAAGCATTTAGAACTGTGCCTGGCACCACAGTACATGCTCACTGAACACTAGCTATTGTTATTATAGGAAGCTCCTTCGGGAGTCATTTGGCCTCTGCTGCTTACACCGTGATGATCTGGAGGCAGCATGGTTAGCAGACTGAGTGCTTTCCTGAGAGAACCAAGTTGAAAACAATTGAGATCCAGCTGGACGTGGTTTCTACATTTAAGCTGAGGAGCATGCTAGACATTAACGTCTAACATGGAAATAAGGCAACCAGCTCATCCCAGTTTGTCTGGGCCTCTGTTGGTATTAAAACTGAAAGTCCCTGGTTTCGGGAGCCCTTTAGTCGGGATGTCAGTTACCCGTAGTGTTCTGATGAATAACATAGAGTGGGAGGTAAATTCAGGCTTTTCTTTTAGCATCTTCCTGTTTTTAGTTTCTTTGTTATTAATTAAACAAACAAACAAAAATCAATCAGACAAATATGTACATGTGGCTTTAAGCCATGGTGTGTTTGTAGCAAATACCACACTGGTTGGCATGGTGCTCAGTGCCTATTTATTGGAGTAAACTGGGATGACTGCAGAGTTGGCAGCTTCGTGAGTTTCTGCCTCTGCTATATATTGGAGTGTCTAACGTGGGTTGACACGGAGAAGAGCATTTCTAAATTCATGTTACTCTGAGCAGGGCTTTATGGACTCCATACCATCCTTTATCATTTATCCAATATACTGAGAATTTATGCCAGAAACTATGGGCAAAATGGAGGATTTAGAAATAAATGTCTGCTTATCTTTGGCTGTTTATATTCAATTTACCTCCTTCTACCTTAGGTCAGTAAAAGTCAGGCCTGAATAAAATGCCTGTTTGTGGCATTAACCCAGAACTAACCCTGCTGATTCTGGACAGCTGCTCTGTGCATTTTTATGATTTTGCCTCTCTATTCTGCTCTAGCATCTGCCTGTAAAACCTTTGATTAGCGGGTTCTTTGCACTCTTCTCTCCAATTTTGACCTTAGCTTGCCACGTCCAGCTTTCCCAGAAACACGCAGAGAGACCTTCCTCTTGCTATCGCTGGTTGTGAGGGATCGTCCCAGCTTGGCCTGCATGTGGCCCTCTTGGCCAGGGGAGTGGAATTTAGACTAAAATTTCACCTGGAATGCAAAGTATTTGGGAACAGTGACTGGGGGTGGCTGTACTCTGCTCTCTGCATCTGGGTAGTGAGGCTGGGATATGCACGCATGTCTACTGCTTCCTTCCTGTAACGGTCAGAGGCCAGGCCATAGCGTTGATGCGAATGCCCACACTGCTGTGCTCTTCCTCTGAAAACAGTCATTTGGGGCAGGCTTCACCAGGTAGTAATGTTTTCTATGCCTTTAATGTGAAATTGTTGTCTTCTTGGGAAAATTTTCCAGATGAAAGTGGGCCTTAGTTTAACAAGAGCGCCTTGGCTTGGACAAAATTATAGTTCCCTAATGCAGCACCATCTGCAGGCTAACATAGGGAAGTGCGTCTGAAGGCTATGAGGTTGACCTTTTGGGGCACATCTTGCCCAGCCCACATAGGATGTAGCTATATTGAATGTCACAGCATATTCAGGGGAGTTAAGTGGTTTTTCTTCCTTCCACCCTTCCTCTCTCCCTCCCTCCCTCCCTTCCTTCCTTTCGTCATTGGATCTTATTCATTTTTCCTGCCCCAGTAACTGATCTTCTCAGAAGGGAAAGGGGCTTCAGAGGCCTATCAGCAGTGGGAAAACCATGTACAGTTCTGCCCTAATTTTGGCCTCTTCCAGCTAATTGGGCCTAACATTATGAAAATAAGTGCCTCCAACACAGTGATGGCAGCTGGCACAGCTGGCTTCCACTTTGATCTCTGTTCTTGAAGAGGTTGTTACTCTTAATACAGGTGAATGACCTTATGTGGGAACAGGTGCTGGCAGGTGGATATGTCCTGTTTGTGCTCTGACACTGGCCTGGAGCCACAGTGGTTAAACCAAAACCTCATCCCTGGCCAGTTGAGGGCGCCACTTTGTTTAAGTGATTCAACTTCTCTAATTCTGCCTGCTGGACAGATACTGTGTGCATAATCCAGGACTCCAAGGAGTGGCAGAAACACTCCTTGCAGACACCTTTTTCAGCCATGATGTTCACTGCTCAGGATAGACTGGCACAAGCAGCTGGCACTGTGCTGTACTGAAGCAGCTGATGGTGATCCAGAGCCATCCAGAGATAACTCAAAGGGCCCAAGGGGCTGCTTTTCCAGCATCTCCTCATGCAGCTGTTTTGGCTGTGACAGAGGCACCGTGCATATTTTATGTGGCTCTTTGGTGTGCACCCCACCAGGTGGTTACCACTTGCAAATGACGGGTTCTGCTGTGCTGCCACCATGAATGGCCTGTTCAAATTCTGATGTGCTCTGTAGAGGCTTCTAGTGTTTCCTCATTTGCCCTGCCTTCCTGTTGGTGACAGGCCTACACTGAGGACAGGCTTGGGAAAATACAGGGGTAATCTCATTCACTCCCAACACTCCGGATCGTCCAGGTGTAAAGTCTTCAAAACTTCAGTTTGGACTTCTTTTGTTCATGGGGCCGTGACATCACTTGGAAGAAATGTGCACCCTCATCAAAACATAAATACAACAGCATATGCTGAACACCCCTTTTCCTACGCTTTGAATAACACTGGGAGTTATTGTTATTGATTTTTATCTGTGTCTGACAGAAGAAAAATGGTATTTCATTGTTTTCATTTGCATTCTTTTAATTGTTAGACAGCATATATTTATTAGGCATTTGTATTTCTTCCTTTATTTTCAAGCCTTTAAACTCTGTAGGCCTCCCATGCGCCATGCTGTGGCAGGCACTGCAGAGCCAACTGCTGACTACTGTGCCTATCTCAGGCGCCTGCCACGGATGGACACCTGCTTATTCCTTTGGTTTTAACAATTAGTTTCTGGCTACTCAATTCTCAGCATTGGGCTTACTACTGACTTTCACATTCTCCCCGACTTGGGGAGGGAGATTTCTTCTGGCTCCTAATTACTGGATCAACCCAGTACTTCTAGTCAAAGGATTAAAAAATAATAATAATACGGAAAATATTTAATTCCTGCTCTCAGGAGTTCACAGTTGACTTGGAAACAAACAAAATACCAACCCCTCCCCAGATAACTAGTGAACACTTTAAACAGTAATATGTATTCAAGAAGGATGGACTCCAGATGCCCTAGGGGCTCTTGAGAAAGTGGTCATTTCTGCTTGTTGGAGGCATAGACAGAGACAAGACATGAGCTTATTTCACCAGGTGGACAGGGATGGGAGGACATTCCATGCAGCAATTGTAGAGGCCTAGATGCGTGGTCTTTGGGGGTAAAAGGCAAATGAATATGTATGTTTGGAGGAAGATGAGTCCAGAAATGTAAAGGGGGTCAGATTACCAAGACGTGTAAGCTCTGCCAAGGACTATACGCCTCATTCTGTAGGTAACAAAAAGGCATAGTTATCTAGTGGTCTAGTAGAATGATCATAGCCAGTGTTTATCCACTGCTTGTTATTTATACGCCAGGAACTGTGCCAACCATTTCAACCACTTTGCCTCAGTCCCAGATTTATGTTTCAGGATAACACTGTTAGTAGTGGAGAAGATGTATTGGAGGGGCAGGACTGGAGGAGGGAGATTATTTGCAATAGTTCAAAAACAGGACCTGGTGGCTATATGGGAGGATGGAAAGCGGACAAATTATGGAGAGAGTAAAGGGACAGAGATGACAGGGCTGGGAATGTGAGAGGAATGTGGGATGACTGCTGGTTTGGCTGGGATGGACATCGCATGAAAGGATTGTTGTCTGGGAGAGTATAGGAAGGCACAAGTGTTTTTCACGCATCCCCTTGGTTAAACATCTCTGTGATACACTATTCTTGAATTAAAAGACACATGGGTTTGAATCCTCAATTCCACTGTGTATTGGTGCTGTAACATTGGACCATGCCAATTGCTGATAGTTGAGTGATTACCTAACCTCTCCAGGCATCGTTTTCTCAACTACACTGTTGGATAATCCTACCCAGAAGGAGAATTTTAATGCTTGAATGGTAGATGAATTGTAATGATAAGGCAGAGTACCTGACACATAGTGGGTCTTTAATACATGAAGCCTGTTATCTCTACAATGGAATTGTCTTTTAACAACAATAGTAGTAATAACAACACGGGTTTGGTCATGTGCATGTTGTAGTGTTTCATGTGGAAGGAAATGTGGTGCCAGGAATTAAATGTGGAGCAGAATCAAAATATTCTCAGGAAAATATGAGCAAAGAGGAAATTTTGATTTGTCTTCTTTAGTAGTATACTATTTATTTATTTATTTTAGAACTGGCATTAAAAAAAATGCCATATTTTGTGCCTGCCTGGGGGTGCTGATAGGATCACTTTATAACTAGGTAGGATACATATGTACACAGGCAGCTTTCATATAGTTAACATGTATGGTTTCCATTGTAGGACCCCAGGTCAAATTTGATTCAACAGTGGTTGTCAGAAAAAAGTGATCTTGGAGTTGTTTCCAAAACTTTTCAGTTATCTTCCCATCCAATACTTGGTGACTGGTCCATTCAAGTTCAAGTGAACGTGAGTATAAATATATTTTTAAGGTGAATGTTAAAATGTTTAAACAGGTCAGGTGGGGAAATATATCCAAAGTCATCTATTCAAAGAACAGAAAAAACATTAATCTGAACATCTAGACAATTTAGGTGGTTTATTTTTAACTTACTGTGTTTTTCAATGGGTCAGCCCATTGAAACACATTGTAACACATAATACATTAGAATTTTAGCCATTGTTGTCTTTTTCTATAATGTTGCAAGATTAAAACATTTCACATTTTAGTATAAAACTGATTAAGTGATATTTATTTCATGCACCGAGTATTTGAAAACTAAGTAATGAATACGTAGCTATTTGGCAAATGTTATGTCTCACAATGTCTCTGTTTTAAAAAACACAGTGACTTTGAACAGCCACATCAATCTTCTGTTCCCCAGTCCTTCTTTCTCCCCAACTCTTCCATGTGCTTCCTTTATTTGCTGCAAACTCATGCAGCTCTGAGAGCTAACAGGGCAGGGGCATTTAAACCGCCTTCATGTCTCCGCCTTGGCTTTTCTTCTGTGTCTCACCGTGTGATGTTGGAAGATTCATTGGATATTTTCCCATTTTTCCCTTTGGAATTTATTAAAATAAATGTGTGATTAAGAGCTTTAAAAAATCTATTAGAACAGGGCTTCTTACTATCAACATTTTGGAAAAAAATTCTTTGTTGTGGGTGCTGTGCTATGCATTGGAAGACAGCTAACAGGCTCGCTGGCCTCTACCCACTAGATGCCTGAGGTGGCTCTCCCTTTCCTCCAAGTTATGACAATCAAAAATATCTCCAGACTTTGCCAAATGTCTCCTGGGGGGAAAATACCCTCCCCCTGCTCCATTGAGAACCACTGTGTTAGAAGGAAAAATCACTCATTAGCATTAGACCTGAGGTAAGATAAAAGCATCAAGTACTTAATAAAAAATGAAAAAAATTTTCCCCCTTTGATTGACATTTTCTGGAGCCACATCCTAAAAACAGAACTAGTCCACCTTAGCAGCTGTTTTTCTGAGTGTCTGCATAAAGATGAATAGCGCGCTGGGGCTGTGGAGAGGCTGTGCCCCACGAGGGGGAACATGGGAAATGAGAGCGTGAGGAGGCCTGTCCAGGAGCTGCGGGGCCCTAGAGCAGGGGGATGGACCCTGGGGGAAGCAGAAGACTGAGCCTGTAGGGAAGGAGAAAAGAGTAGGTGTTTGTGAGACTTAGGAGAAAGAAGGATTTGCATCGGGGCAGGGAGCCTCTCTTGTCTGGGATTTAGGAGAAGTTTGGAGCGCATGGACAAAAATGGGGTTTGAGGATTTAGGAAGCATATTGTGAGTTTTAAAGAGTTAGGTTTTATTTTCAGTTCCTGCTTTTTGATTTTACTGTAATCTTCAGGAATTATCCATCCATCCATCCATCCATCCATCCATCCATCCATCCACCCATTCCTCTATCCTTCATCTAATATGTGTTGAGGGCTTATAGTGCTGTGAACAACACAGGAAGCTAAGCATGTGATCTTTGTCTTCAAAGACCATTGTTACAGTGAGATGAATAATATGATAAAATTTAAACGACACAATGGTGACAGAAAAACAGAAGACATGGAATGGTAAGGTGCTGAGTCAGCGAGGTCCATCAGATGCCTCCAAGGATAGTCTCACTGGGACCACCTTGGGGTAAGGAGGGTTTATTGTAAGCATGAGCGCCGATATTTTTGGGACCAACTACTCCCTCTGTCTCTTGTGGTCTGCCCTATTTTCTTCTCATACGTCTGCCAACCTTTAAGGTGTTCTGTGGTTCAAATCTGGACTGGTCACATTGGCTCAGCTAAATAACCATTGTTCTTAAAGCCCTACAAGCTAGAATCTTCATGGGTCATGGGATTCCCCTGGGTCACGTGTCCACCCTTGGTCCATTCAGAAACCACCCTGCATAATGACCGGGCGGGGAAGTCTCAGGTGGGTAGATGCCCCAGAGATATTAATTTGTTTAATGAATGATGAAGAGAGTAAGAACCAGAGGAGAGAGGATAAGATAGTGGGGAAAACTTGTGGAAGATGCGAGATTGTAGGTGGGAAGATTTACAGGATGTCTCATGTAGTGGTTTGTGGACTTCACCTATCATATGACTTTGATAGGAAAAAAATAAGGAAATTTAGGTACTAAAAAAATTAAAACTTTTTGCAAAATTTGACTTTTTGCAAAATTTGACTTTTGCCCACCTCTTCAGCCTTCATCTTCAGTTAAGCGCCACCCTTACCCTTGAACTCCGTGCTTTAGACATATATCCCTCAAGTTACTTAAACCCACCGTCTGTCTTATTCCAGAGCCTTCCTGGGCTGTTCGCTGGAACACTATTTTTCTACTGTTATTCAAGTGACTTGATTTTGCTCTCCAGTCATCGTCTAAAATGGATTAACCCCGCCAGACATTCCCCTAGCACTCTCTGCTTCTCTTGTTTCATTCGTGCCACTTTGAGTTGGTGGTACTTGACCTCTGGGACCTAGTGCTTTGCACATAGAACTATTTATTAAATGAATGTATTAAAGCTATAGAGTACTCATTTGTCTTAAACTAAATGTAATTTTCCCTTTTCCACATTCTATAAAGCATCCTTATCCTTTTGAAGACAAGCATGTTGATTTAAGTACTTGTTTTTGGCGATGTAATATCCCTCCACCTCCAGTTTTATTGAGGTATAATTAACAAATAAAATTGTAGGATATTTAAAATGTACAATGTGATTTGTATACATTGTGAAAGGATTTTCCCCCCAGGAGGTGCTAGTCCGCACCAGAAGGAAAAATCAGCCTTTTATTAAAAAATAAAATGCCCTTCAAAGGCCACCAGGGGTCAGTATAATCAAAGAAATGACAGCTTTGGTCTCTGGTTTTTATCTTTCCTTGGCTCCTACACAGCATCCATGCACTGTATATTGCTTATTATTGAAATTCTTTTTTTTAGCAGTTAATAATAACTATAGTGAAAATATATTTATAATTGAAATAGTACACCATTATAACCTTTATTTTTGTTTTCCTAAGGCAGTGGCCATCCTCAGTATTAATCTCAGAGAGAAGGAAAGATTTATTCTTAGGAGAGTGTTTTGAAATCCCATTTTGTTTCTACAGAGACTATGGAATGGTCCTATTATTACTAGTGAAGGACAATGTATTAAAAAACACAGGAGTTATCAGAGCTTTGATTTGTAGTGACTGTGCAGGTAATTGGAGGGGCATTTTTAAATACCCTTTTGATGTCGGTGGGCTCTTTGGCATTTCTACAAAGTAACATGTGCCTTTACACAGTTGAGTGTGAGTGAGTCATTTATTTAACTGTTAACCTTTCTGGATTGCTTAAATTGCTTTTGACCCTCAAGTATTCCTTTTTACCTTCAGGATTTTTAATGGTGAATAATTATTTTCATCTAGTAAAATTTCTAGGTTTTTGTTCTTATTTTTTGTATCTCCTTTATTGTGTAGGTTCTGATGGTGGAGCATAGTAAGTTCCCTCTATCTTTATAGACATGTATTTTTTTAAAAAACAATGCTAGTTTAATTAAATTGCAAAGCAACTCTTGATTATTATTTTTAAGCTCTCTTAAAATGAGTAAAATTTAGTGAGAACACTGACTTTTTTTTGGATACTCCTTATGCATATACTTAATTTGCATACCTTCATTGAATGTGAATAGTTCTTTGCAACTTTGGGGATTGTACTTTTTCTCCTGCCTCTTCCAGCTCTTCCCACCTTTTGCTCCTTAACTCTCTGGACCACCAAGCTCTGCTCCCACAGGGAAGAGGTTTATTTTACACCTCTCCAAAGGCTGTGTTTTACAGAGCTGTTACACTTCAGGTACATTATGGGACAGGTTGGGAAATGCACTTTGATTTGATAACTATCTTGCAGATACACTTTGGGAGGAGAACTTGTTTTGAAAGTGAGGCACTCGCTTGTGTTTTCATTTCTTTGTAGTACTTCTTTAGGGGCCTTATCTCTAGGTGCCTGTCTCTTGACTTGTGTCGTTGGAATCCCAAATAGTTGTACATTTCCCCCCACCCCCCAATTTTTTTTTATTATGGTAAAATACACATAAACTTATTCTCTTAATTATTTTTAAGCGTACAGTTCAGGGGTGTTAAATACATTCACACCGTGGGGCAACCATCACCACCATCCAGCTCCAAAGCTCTTTTCATCTTGCAAAACTGAAACCCTGCTCCCACTAAACAGTAACTGCCCATGTCTGCCGCCCCCAGCCTTGGCCACTGCCATTCTACTTTCTGTCCGTCTGGTTTTGACTACCCCGGTGCCTCCTGCAGTGAAATCATGCAGTGTCTGTCTTTTTGTGACTGGCTCATTTCACTCAGCCTGATATCACCAAGGTTCCTCCATGTTGTAGCAAATGTAAGAATTTCCTTCCTTTTTAAGGCTGAGTAATATTCCCTAATATAGGCATATACCAGATTTAGTTGCAAATGTCCTTGCATCTGTGCTTTAAAGTGCATTCCAGGTTATTAGAAGGCAACTTTAGAGGTTTATTTTATTTTATTTTATTTTAAAAGGCTAATGTTGTGGGCAGCCAGGAGGGATCTGGCCACACCAGCCCTCCCCTGTGGGTGGCCCACGGCCCAGAGTGCCCTGCCTCTGGGGGACCCAGGCGTTGTTCATGTTCCCCTGAGAACCTGAGTGGGGAGCCCTTGTCACTCAGAGTCCTGCTCACTGGATAGTTGCAGCCCCGTGCCCTCTTTTCTCAGGGGCAGATGGAAGCCTATCTCCCTTTAGAGTGGCTCATGTCGCCGAGTTCGCCCCTGGAGGCTCCAGCTGCTGGTACGTACCAGTAGTTCTCAAACATCACAGGGTTTCTGTACCTAGAAGCCCACCGACTGGGGAGCTTGGTTGAAATGTGCAGTCTGGGCCTCACCCACAGCTCACAAGGGAGCGTTCCTGGCCTGAGACCTAGGAATCTGCATTTTAAATACGCACTCTAGGAGATTCCGTT